TTAGATTGCGAGTCGAGCGCCCTAACCACCTGGCCATGCCGGGCCTTAAGTGTTTAGATTAAGCACGTGCCTCAGTTGACGATCCACCATTTATGAGCCGTATTATCATCAATTTCATGGTACAGCTATGGGCTCACCTGCTTTGACGATTGTAGTGGATGTAATAAGGAAAACCACAGTACCCCAAGCTACAGACACCTTTCCTGGTTAAGACAAAAACTACAGACAATATGGGAACGACACTACCGACATTTTAGAAATGTTTTAGTGAAAAATAAATTAACCATTCCAACAGTGTGGATATGTATATCAAGTTCAATTGAAAAGAAAATCCAAGGAAGACTACCTTTTAATTAGTGGGGTGATAAAACGAAAAATAATTATTACCGTATTATCTGTACAAATACAGACATTTAAACAAAATTAATATTAGGGTAACTTATCAATCTTATAAAACTCCATTTGATATTTTGAAAGATCCCATTTACTCTGAAAAACATCTTGGTAATATTTATAACATTTCCTATCAAAACTGCCCAAGCGCATGTTATAGTGAGGCAGGTTAATCGAGGAGCACTTAAATAGAAGAATATAAAAATGGCAGTCATGATAAACATGTAGATGCGTAAGATTTAACAAATCACGTTCTTACAGAAGACCCTAATGTAAACTACAAAACTGTAAGTGAGTTTGAAGTGAGTTTGGTGGTCTGATCTACCAGAGTAATCAGATAACAGCTTATAACATTTCAATAATTTGCAGACACTATGTACTTTAGCAGAAAGTATGACTTTACATTTCCAGTGCTTAATATTTATGCGATTTATTTTACATATATATATATATATATATATATAAATAAATTTATAGAGTATAAAATAATTCGTCGTTACCTTGGTCACTTTTTGAAATACTATCTTGTTGAATCTGATCAGGAAAAGGTAGCTATGTTGTTCTCGAGGCTTTAGCCTAATTGGAAATTGATTTTCCCAGCCGGAGCATCTTAGGCCAGTCGGTTTGAGAAAAGCATATTCCTCTTTTGGGTTGTCTCTGTGCCACAAAAGTGTATATTTTTAGTTGTTTTGTCTTCTTATCGGAATCTATATTGATGAATTCTAATGATTAACAAGAAATGTTTATTCTATTTTGAATGCGTGAACTAATTTCATTCTGCATTGAACGTAGTCAGAAATGTTAAGATGATTAAAAATGTTTAAACACTATCAAATCTAACTGTTTTCACAAAATTTCTAATATTTCATTTAATCACAAATTCCTCAATTCGAAGATCAGCAATTTAATAAAGCATGCTTCTATCATATCAAAATAAAAACTAACTAAGCAATAGCTTAAATACTTGTTTCCTCATTTATAAATAAATGATTCAACAAAGCGTCTTATTTGAAAATATTGCATCTACAAGGGGTTTATTCAAACTAAATCCACAACTTTGTCTTTACAGTAGTGACAAAAATATATATCCGAACTTATAACACATTTTAAATTTTTTTATAACACTGATGTAAACCAATAAGCATTCAAATAAGGTTTAAGGGTAAGAGGGGGGAGGGGCAGTTCATAACAGGAAGTGAGATTAATTTCTCAGAACTGAAAGTTGATATTTTTCTAGTATGTTAATTGATATTAACTTCTAAAGAAATATCTCATAAAAATATAAAGACTACATCTTTTACAAAACACAAGACTGTACACATATTCACTTATTGTTTTACTTAAGGAAGAACTCTGGTCCATTTGCATGAGCATAAGTTCGAACTTACAAAATATTACAGTTACAGTACCTATTGTTATTCCATCATCCAGCAAAATTACACTAAAAACTGGCGTTACAAAAAGTTTTACTGAAAATTTCTGTAGTTGCGAATATGTATTAAAAAAGGGGCTACAACCAATTCAATATTTTCAATATTAAAAAAACAACAGAGACATACAATGAAACGAATCGAAAACAGTTAAATAGTGGATGGTTTAGTAGTTTTTCTATTCCAGTCTTTTACTTCCGTTACCTCTGTGTGGAGCTCGTACATAAAATAATATTTTAATGAATTTAAATTAATTCAATTGTTTGACTTAGAACTCTTAGAATATAATTTATAAAAAAAGACCCAATTATTACAGTAAACCTAATAAATTCCTGCCTCTTAAATTATACATGCACATGTAGGCTGTATTTCAGGCATTTAGTTTGTTTATAGTTACCAGACACTTATCAGTTAAGTTGCATATAAGTACCATTGATATCTATAGTTTATACAGAATTTTAAACATACGAATATAATCCTATAAAATACTGAAACAGGTCGTAGTTGAAATTTGTTTTGTTTTTTCTGTTTTTGTGCAAAGTGTATCTGTAATGATGACAAGGCCGAAAGGAGAGGAACAACTGAACCACGATTATAACATGATATTACTTCTAATTCAGCCATTCGGAGAAAACTCAGTGTTCATAAAAGCATCCTTCTGGTTTCTGATCATTATCATGAAGAGATAAAAACTTCGTAAACATTTTGGGAATTATAGCCTTTATGATAGCAGTGTGTAAATATCAGTAAAATCATCTTACAAAACATGCAAATTGCTGTATCGACAATGTGGTTTCCATTTCAAGCATTATCTACTATAAGTTTGGATGTCAAAATGTATATGTATGTGTATATGTTTAGACATAACATTTTTGTTTTAAAACGTCAATGATCAAAACTTCGTGGAAAGTTCCTTTGGGAATTCTACAGGTGTTGCGATCAATTTCTACTTATTCAAATGTTTTATAAGAAATAACTATCGTTTTCATTCATAAAACTAACTTTTAGCGATTAGATAGAACACGGCGATTATCCTACTCTTGAAATTAACAATAAATATTTGTAGTTTAAACATTGTTGAGTTAAAAAACTGTGAATTGTGTCATGCTGTTGTGGTTCTATCCTCTTACTTAACACTAAATTATTTTCCTTACAAATGCGGTGTACGTTATTGTTTCTTGTGTATAATGCTATGTTTTATCAGTCTCATACTGATCTAGTTAAAGTTCTTATTCAAATCGTTCACATATATATAGCAACAATTTTTACAAAATGATAAAACCCTATAACCCGAGCGCTTCATCTTCCACCTTTTGAAAGCGCTCGGGTTATAGGGTTTTTAACATTTTGTATTAAGACTTATTGAGCCTACGTGTTTTTCTGACATCATGAGAAATTTTTACAGATATAATGCCAGTAAAAGCGTCATCTTTTGTGTACTCGTCTTGGGTATAATTGTTTTTTGTTGTTGTTGAATAAAGACTATTCATTTTTGGTACCCGTTGTATCCATTTTCTTTAATTCTTTAAACTCTTTTAAAGTCAAAGCATCTAGATTTTATCGGTAGTACATTTTCTGTCACATTTCTGTAATTCTGCAAAACCTACCCCGTTACTCTTATGGGAAATCAGTGCATCTGAGACTACCAAACTGTAAATTGCTGTGTGAGATTGCAACGTTCTGATCATTTTTACTGAAACATATCCACAATAAATGAAAACATAAAATATGTATTTTTATCATTAGGCAGAATTTTAAATCAAAATTAATTTGGCCGATGAATTAATTTACCAAGGCCACTGTACGTTTCTAACACCATCTCCCTTGTTATCTTTTCCCTAGTTGAATACATCTGTTACTGTTAACCATTTTCCCTACCTATACATAGAATTTTCCCCTTTTTCAGAATAAAAACATTCCAAAAATGTATAATTACGAACTTATAAAATATTCTGGAATTCTGCCCTGTAGTACCTAAAGGCACGGTACTGATTCCAGCCAGCCAAGTTAGGAGAATGAAATAACGCACTTCAATAACTCTATGTACAGGACTGAACTTTTGGACAAAACTGTTTAAATGCTGAAATGCTACCATTCTTATGGCGGTGTCACAGCGGTATGTCTGCGGACTTACAACGTTAGAAACCGGCTTTCGATACCCGTGGTGGGCAGAGCACAGATAGCTCATCGTGTAGCTTTGTGCTTAACTTCAAACAAACAGTCAAACCGTTCTTATGTTTCTGAATAGATATAAACACTCTTACATCGCATTAAAAACAGCAGCTTCTTGTATTCGTAAATTAAATGAAATAATCAGTCAGAAATGGTAAAATTATTGTTCTTCCTGTTGTTCATGAGTCAAAACATATAGTAAACAAAAGGGAACTGGTACGATACAAAGTGGACAACTGTAGCACATCTGTGTGGATAGATTCCCTGAGATTCTAATCCAATTTGAAGTGAAATTAAAATTGTAATTAATTTTAATAAAAATAAAAACAAAAACTTGTTATATATGATCGAAACATTTTACATGTATAAAACAACAAAGTTAGAATAAATGGGTCAGTCGTATAAAATTATAATACCAAAACTAAAGCCAAGTTATATAAAAAAAGGCAAACCCTATAAAGAGGTAATGTAAAAGTGGGTAAGTTAAACGAGAAAGAACTGTAAAAACTTAGATCCCTTTTAATATTCATACGGCTGCTTATTCCATTTTTTCAGGAAGTGTGCAGAACAAAAATAATTTTATAAAATTATTTTTAAGTTTGTAAAAAAAGGACAATGTAGATATAAAAAGTGACAAATAAAACAGTGATAACTCAAAATTACTTAAAGAGTGAGCACAAAAACAGACTCATGCTATTTTTACCACAAAGTTACAAGATGGGCTATCTGCTCTCTGTCCATCGCGGGGAATCTAACCCTGGATTTTAGCAGTCTCGAGACATACCTCTGACTCACTGGGGGACGGCGTCATCTTTCCGAGGCTCAGCATTGAAATTGGAAAGCAGAAAAAGAAGCAGAGTTTTTAAAATAAAATGTCGTTCTTCTCAGGCTTTCACAGGACGACATATTAAATAAATGTCAAGAGACTACCATTAGAACGAGTCGGAGTCAAAAAGTCACTTCTGCTAAAACTAGTGAAAAGACCAGTGCTACAACTTCCTGCTATACTGTCTCAAAAATTGAAAAACCACTTAAATTGTAGAGAGGAAAAGAAAAGAGAAAGCGAAAAATGTATTTGATTTGGTTGGCCAAGCTAAATTGTTAAAAGTGTTGCTTGAAATGTATCCAGTGCAGCTGCTAACATTTTACTTTTCCAAAGCCGACAAGGGAAGGAAATTCACATGATGATTTGTGCCAATGAAAAAGGGGTACCAAGACGATGGGTTCAACATTCCACTCACAAAAAATACATTGTTTTGTTTTTGCTGCAAGATTTTCACCGTCGGGAAACAGAACAAAGAACTTGAATAGTTTAACATAACTTTCAAGTTTGACACGAAACTTAGCTGATCACCTGGAGACACTTCGATTACAATCTCAACCGAAAATGACACAAGTAATCGATAGTGAAAATCTTAAACAAGAAACTGAACATTAGTAAGTTATACTTGAAACTTAATGTTTTGATAAGAATTCAGGGAACTCAAACTATTGCTCTTTGAGGAAGTCGTGAGTAGCTCTTCACACCCTTAAGTTGGAACTTCCTGCTATTTGTTAAATATTTGGCCATGTTTGTTCTTGTATTAAAAGAACATTTTAGAAGAATTATTAAGTAAGAAATCCGTAAGTACTACCTGGAGAAGAACATCCAGAATGAGCTAATTCAATAGTATTCCAACAAGATACAGACTCTTGCTGACTACCATTAAAATTCCAAGTACTGTATTACTCGATTGGATTCGAATGTACTTCAGACGTAAGCTATGCAAAACAGATGGATATTAACATTTCATTTATACAGATAGTGATGAAATTGCGACTGAAAAATGGTTATGTTACTATCAACGATAATTTCTCCAAACATTTGCTGCTAAAAGACACAAGTGGTACATTATGCCTGCAAAGTTGTTATCAATAAACGTGTATAAAATGGCGCTGCTGTTAAAAGCTTACTAGATCAAAGGTCATAGCAATGGATCAGCATAAAGAGCAAGAATAAGAAGCCTGAGGACTTACAACGCTAGAATCCGGGTTTCGATACCCGTGATGGGCAGAGCACAGATAGCCCATTGTGTAGCTTGGTGCTTAATTACAAACAAACATAATTATGCAAATCTTCTTGTGTTGCCGGATAGATTTCTATTATGTTCAACAGATCATTTCAAGAAAAAACCTAAATAAAAATCTCTTAGATAACTTTATTATACATAATCCTAAACGAGTTATAAACCTTTTGTTATTAAATATATATTCTACCTTCCCATCAAAGGCCACCTAATGCAAGTTAAAATTGAGTTGCTTGTGATGTTTACGTATGCCAGCCTTTAATCAAGTGTAAACGAGAACAAATGTGATTGTACTAGTGTCGACCCAAGGATATGGTTAGAAAGGGCCAAGTGATATAAGGATATGCATAGAGAAATTAGTAGTTTATTTTACCACTGGCTGTATGGTCGTACTCTACTTTTAGCTATGAGCTTGCACCCTACATCCTAGAGGGAGGAAAAGGTCAAACTTCTGCCTGACCTTCCCAAATCACCCAACATGACTTGAAACACGGCACAGAAATATTCACTTTTTATAAGCTTAGCTTTCGAGTTTCAAAGCATATTATAAAATAAATTTAAAAGCATAACTGTTAGCTATATATTTCAGAGTTTGTAAAATTTAACTTTAAGCAAAATCCGTTATATTATCATACTATTTGAATGTTTTCGCGCATCCCCCCTGCGGGGTGCTCTCCACTGGTTTAGGAACCCTGATGTTTCTAGAACTTCTACCGGAAATTTGCATAATCTAAGGATTTACGCGTAGTTTTCTTTACAATATTTCCAGGTAAGATTTCTTAATAGGTGTTAGAGCATTGTTTTGAAATTGTCTCTTCTGTATTTTGAAATTTTATCAAAAAGAGAGAGAGAGAGAGAGAAAAGTAGAATACAAACAATTACATAAAAATAAATAACTACTTACAACAATTTGGAAATGAATAAGCCTAATACGAGTAATAGAAATGTCTTTACCCGTCGTGGAATGTTGTCATGAGTAATTCACGTCTTCCTTCAGCTTTAAGATAAAGACTATGTATTATAGTTTCTTCTTCTACGTTGCCTACTGTTGAATGTAAAAATAAGAAATACAAGTGAAAATAAATTAAGTAATATATATATTCACAATGCAGTAATCAACTCTTTTTTTATATATATTTTGAACAGCATTCCATGAAAAAATAAAAGATTGTTGTAATACTACATATTAGATTCAAGAAGAGGGTTGAGGCTCAGCCTGAAAAGATTAGTGTTTCGAGGTGCTAATTTCCTTAGGAGACTTACAAACAGTACAAGAGGACCAGCTCAAAGGCAACATTTTCTCTAGTTTTTAGATTTGTTATTCACTCTCCAGTAGCACAGCGGTATGTGTTCGGATACTTCGGTTTTGATACCCTTGGTGAGCAGAGCACAGCTAGCCCATTGTGTAGCTTTGTGCTCAATTATAAACAAACAAACAAAGATTTGTTATTATAATTTCACATAATGATTTTGTTTCCAGAGATTGATTGACTTGCAGTCTATCAAGTACTCGATTCTTATAACCTTCTATTGCTATAGTAGTAATAACAATATATTGTTACGACAGCGGAGGTCACGTGACGTGGTAACACGTGATAAGTGTCTAGAAGGTTCATGAAGAGGCGAGTGCATTCTAGAAGCCCTCTATTCTTGTATATAAGCGCGGCAAATAAAGCGGAGAAATTAATTGGATAGCAGACAGGGAGATATAGAGACAGATATTCGAGTTAAGTGAGCGGTAGTGACCGTAAGTAAAGTGCGGGAATCGTTGTGAATTATAGCGTGTGTTT